TCATTGCCCGATTTGAAAAAATCAAAGTTGTTTGCACAATTATAGCAATAACCATAAAAATATACTTCTTGGGAAGAGTGGGATTTTGTTTTTGTCATGGTGGGAACAGAGTTTTTTGATGAAGTGGATGGTGGGACTTAAGGTGCAAAAGGCTGAGAACCGCTGATCTAATCCAACCCCTTGCCTGAGGTCCCATACAACCATAATTTAAACTTGACATGAGACTACCCTCAACCCTGACATAGCATAGACCTAATGCCAGGACCTGCCAGAGGTAAAGCAGGGAAACCACAGCAGCCAGTCCTGTTTCTATAAAATGTCACTCTGCACTCTAGAGGTCCTGGGTAGAGAAGCTTGTGTGTCCTTTTCTCTCTTATTATAAGAAGTATATCAGCTGCAGACAGGAGTTACATGCATAATGTGTCTTTTTAAATAAGGTGGCTGGTGTATGTATACTCATTAGCTTTACATTCATATGCAATGTTCCATACTTGAGTGGCAAATGTCTGTATCGAGGATCAGAAGAGAGTCATGAAAAATGGATGGTTAGTGGCTATTAAGAAGTGAAAAAACCTGCAGTTAATCTTCAGCAAATGCAATGTACGTAAGATGATTATGCAAAAATGTTAATTTTTATGACTAAATCCCACTTTAGGGAGAAAAAAAGCCTTTAATACTCTGGCTAAAGAGTCTAGTCACACCAGATTAGCATTGTTGTACATTAATAATAAAAATAGCTGGGTCTGATTAGTGCCATGTAAAGTTTCCTGAATGGGAGATATAGCTCTTTTGAATTAAACAGTTTGAATATCAGCTGAGGATTCCCAGGGAATAATTTGTATTAAAAAGTTAAGACCTTCACTACTTTACTAAAGGAAAATCTATCACTGGTGCAGGAATTGCATAGTATTCATTTAATACCATGAAAAGGAAGGAACTTTGCAGACCACAGAGTATAATAAAGGAACATGTAAAATTGATTTTCATTAAGTAGATTACTTCTGCTTTCCTCCTGAACAGGAAAATCTTTCTCTGATCTCCAACACTTTCTGAGCTCCAGCTACCATTCTGAGTCACTGATTTATCACTAGCATAATACACACATTTCTACCTATAGACACACTTCAGTGGGAGTTGCATCTGTGGCCAGAAGTAATTAAAGCTCGGGTCTAGAGTTGGTGGTTCCAGTCTCATCTTTGCCATGGCTTTACTGGACCTTGAGAGACCATTTAGTCTCTTGATTAGTGTCCCCATCTGTAAAATGGGCATATAGAAGCACACAGTTGCAAGGCTTAGCTGTTAACTGCTTGTTAACTGTTCTAAGATCCTCTCTGTGGTGCCGCAGGCTACTGTGAGTACGCCATACTTCTGTTGCATCTCTGCACCGTTCAGGGTCAGTTCAGTACGTCTGTGACTATTCCAAACCCTGACCAATTTGGGGCCACGCTATCTGAAGGGCTGCTGCTTACATGGTCTGAAGTTAAAATCAGCTAAGAGACCCTTGCTTTCAGCTTTTGGGGTTAAATATTCCATGACAAACAGGAGAGCTTTCTCTTATGAATCCCTTGCGGAGGTAATTTACTTGCCTGGAGTATCTGCCGAAGTCCGAGTCTAGCCAGACTCAGGATTGCTTTCATTTGATTTAGCTCCTGTATGATTATTGGGGGAGGACCATTCAATTTGATTTTATTTGTGGCCAAAAACTCTAGCTTTTAATTGCATCCGCTATAACCAGCAATCTTTTATCGTTTCCAGTTGTATGCTGCAAGTAACTGCCTACTTGCTACACTGCGCTCTGTACCTCTTTCATAATAACACTGGAGCAACAAATTGATTCATCTAATGGAATAATTTAGAGGCAACGCACTCTGAATGTGGCAGGTTAATTGTGCAAGTCTCAAAGCTGTAAAGTTGTCAAGATAAATTTTGGAGAAACTTATCCTAAAAATGACCAAAAATATGGGATGTCTTTGTGGTAATTATGGGACATCTTTGTGATCAGGTCTTCCTGGTTGATATATAGAAAGTAATAACTCATTCAAAACTTAACTTGATCTGTACCAGCTTCTTTTTGGAGACCAAAATATTTGGATGGTGTATTCAGGGTTTTATTGAGTGAGCTCTGCACTTAAATCAGGACTCTAACTTTTTGTGCGTGGTCTGGTTGATGCCATGCAGACAGACATACTCTTTATAACTCCGTGCGCACAGTCATATACATGGTAGTGTAGGGTACAATGTCAACGGGCAAAGCAAATGAATTGCCAGTCTAATGTTTGGAAATTGTAAGCGAAGCTGCGGGGGTGGCAAGGGGGAATGGGTCAGAGGGGTAGAGATGGAAGACTGGATAGGCTACCAAAATCTTAATTTACTGTCTGGGATTTCTCACTTTATACTGCTTTAGCTGCCAATGTTCAGATCTGCATGAGTCCTTTCAAGGTTGGGAATTCAGTGGGAGTTATAGGTGCTCAGCAGCAGTCCCCGGGAGAGTCCCCAGCCACAATTTGGGCCCTGTCTCCTGTATTCATTTAGGTGTGTGACAGGTAGCCTGTGAGGCAGGGGTGCCAGGTGCACTTGAATGTCTCTGGAGCTTGTGCTAGTCTGGCCACTGAAGTTTCCTCGCTGGCTCGATGCTTTATAATTAGCTCTTCTTCCCACCCAGGGGATTCACTGTGAAGTTTCCAGGGCTCTCACTAAAATTTGTTCAGCTGTTACCATCATACCCACAAACCCTGAAATGTCAAATGCCATGGATATTTGGGGGAAAAAACAAGAAGAGCGTGGAATTAATGGTTCCTGTGTATCCTGACAATGAAAGTCTGTTCTACCTAGATTGAATGTTTGCTGTCCTTAGATGTCAGCCATTCACCTCTAGTTCAGCTTTTTAGTTGGTTAATTCTCTGCAAACTTCTATATAACTTCAGCTTCCAAGTTGTAAAGGCCGAGAGAATATGTACATCTACTGCTACCTTTGCTGCTCCTTCTCTTTGGAGCTCTTCTTTAATTAGGGCTTTCTCCAGAGAGAAAGAGAGTGTTCAAATATCCCTGGAACTTTTTATGGGGCTGAAGTAGACCACGTGTTTGTCCAAGTCGTATTGTTTGTCCTGCTTTACCTGAGCTGATCCCCTGGCCTTTCTGTAGCCTTGGATCCCAAAGGTGTGTAAATTGATGTGATGTTACAGAAGCAGCTGACTTCAGCCCCACCTTTGGGACAGGGAGGATCTGTGAGAAGACTGTCCACGACCTTTCAAGAAACCCAGTTGCTCCGTCTCCAGCTGTGCTGGATTCCTGTACTATAAATATTACTCATATGGCGCATAGTATTTTGGAGAGCTTTATTTCAAGCTTTCACTCTCATTCTGTCCAATATCCTATTTCTTTTATTTTTGCAGAACCATGACCTTTGATATTTAGATATTTCCCTATGCTTGAGTAGTCTGGCTTAAAAATTTCCTGGGCCCCTTGCAAATTGGAAAAGGTAACTTTCATAGCTCAGCCCCTTGAGGCTTTCTCTAGTTCACCTAAGTTCCTCTGCTTGGTCAAAAATAGATCTGTATAGCCCAGCTCACTCCAAAAACTAGTGCTATGGATAAAGATTTAGAAATGATGCAATACTCCACCATTTAAATAGTCCCTTCTGGGTTCTTTGTCTTGGTTGTGATTAGCAATGCTGGTTTAAATGCAACATGAAGACCAGCCATTTATTTTTAAATGTACCTGCTGCATACTTGTCTTCAATTCAAGCATGGAGAAATAGATGTTGCTGACACAGTTTAGGAAAAGTGACACCTTTACTATGCTATTCCTAAGGAATCTTGCTGAAGTGTTTCAGTTATAGGTAGATGTATAAAAATAACCCAAACTTCCTTCACTAAATATATCTCTCTGGACATTTTTATTTCACATTTTAAATGCTTTCCAACCATCCTGTTCTAAAGGAGGCACTATCTGTAATTAAGCAAAGCAGTGGAAAATGTACAGAGCAAATTCTGCATCACAATTATTTTGTCAACCTATTCCATATTTTCCCTGTACATCTTTTCCTTTAAAAAGTGTCTCTGCTTGAAACTTGGTCCGGTGAGTAAGACTATTGGTTCGTGTATGAATTCTCTATCTGGGGGAATTATAAATTGGTCTAGTGAGTGCTTGATTCCAAAGAATTTTTCTTCCATACAATGGGTGACATTATGAGAAAGTCAAAGGCCACTCAGCAGCGACACCTTGGCAAGATGGATTTTATTCCTGCCTTTTTCACTGACGTTTACCTTAATCTAGCAAACACGTGTGAACATATGCCAAAAGGTGGACACATCTTCCAAGAGCCTTGTTAGCTCATAGCTTTGTGTGGTTCCAAATGTATGTCCGATCTTCTCGTGTGTCTCTATTCCTAGACGGCAGATTTGGATCCCAACCAGCTAGCAATAGGATTGTGCGCTACACCCAGCTCAAGGTGTTGCAGCTTCTGTTTTGGCAGGGCTTCCCTATGGCGGTATGAGCCAGTGCTCCCAAGGAAAGCACTGTCTGGGTAAAAGATGAAAAGGATCGTTCTGTGCACTCAAGCCAACATTGAGCCAACCTGGAGAATTCTCCTTGGACCACGCACTTTGGAGTTGGCTACTTGCTCTTAGAAAACGGCGCTGTTCTGCTGATCATTACAACATGGCCTTTGGTGCATTTGTTGAAACGCAGGCTTGCTTATGGTCATGACAGAAGGAGTTAAGTTACTAGTTCAAGCCGTGATAAAACAATTTAAGAGCTCTGTGTTTGGGACCCCACCATCTTCCCTTGAGTGTGTAAGAAAAGCCAACATCATGTCTGTTGTGTATTTCTGCTTCTTTAGCAGTAAAGATTTCAGCACTTTCCACTGTGCTGTTCTAGTGGTGTATTTCACATGAGGATTGTTTAACATCCTGAGATTGTGAATTTCCCGGTCCACAAGTGGATGAAAATCTTTTTATTCAATATGACAGATACCTAATTGTACAAATCATTACAGCCACCCTGACAGGCACCTTGTTTATTCTCTAGTAGTCATTAATTATAATCGGAAAATATTCTCTTAGACATTTCGTGGAGAGGTAAGAATAATGTCGTCTGTAGCAAGCTATGAACAAACGTTAGGAGCTGGTCCAACAGCACAGGGAATATCTCTATATACCACATTCAAAAGTGACGTTAGAGCACCTGCCACTGTTTGCCAGTGTGGGCAGGGAAATCTCTCTGAGATGTTTGTAGTCTCTGGAAATTATTAATGGCCAATTTTAGCCCATTCTGAACACCTCTGCATGGACAGCACCTCTTAACCCATAGTCCAGTGTCAGCACCAACCTTGGATGTCTGGCAGTCCCCACCCCCAGCTGCACGCACAAGGCTTGCACTTCCAATCACTTAAGTACATTTTGATCTGCCAGCATTTCCAATTCTATCAGCACTTCGTATGAAATGAGTGTGCTTCATAAAGCATCAGAGTGAACACAAGAAAATCAATAAGCAATCTGTGTGATAATTAATTAGGGTGCCAGAATGAATTACTGTTTCTTCCCCTCCTGATTGGGGTCAGAGTCGCATTTGATTTGGGAAGTTGTCTGTTTTTCAATTATAGTTTGTTCTTTCTTTTGATGTGACCAGAATGAGAGACTGGCAAACAAAGTCATGTTGTACAAACCTGTCAGTCATGGGAAGTTGACAGTGCCAGGCTCTGTGTCGTGACAAAGCCATTGCTGTGGCAGCACATGTAACAGAAAGGTTACCTCTGATCATCTTTTTACAGTGGGGAGATAGTTAATGTGAAGTCAGGCAGAAGGCAGGGTAGATTTGTACAGGATAATGATCCAACTGGTCTAACCAATCTAAGTGTGCGGTGCCTAGGCTGTTTGGTTGTACCCCGTGAATTGTGGCTTTGCCACTGGCCCTTAGCATAAGTGGGCATGAACTTAATAGTCCTCCAGAAGTGCTGCATGGACCTTTGACTGTCATAGTCGTACACTGCCCAGGAGCAGATTCATTCCTTTCCAGCCCTGAAGAATAAATACAGAGGACATTTTAATTTGCTTGATTTCCTTAATTTCCTCCATTAGGCTTTAGCGTCATGTCTCAGTGCACTGTTTTGGCTGTTTATCTGCCTGTACCTGTGTCCACCAGCAATTTGGCATGAACACTAGCTCCGCCGAAGTCAAAGGGAGTTTTCACATATTTAAATTACCAGAGTTATTTGAATCTAAGATGAGTTCTTTTTCTCCAGTCAGTATGGGAGGAAAAGCCTGTAGTCGTACATTCATGTACTAAGTGGAGGTAGTAGCAGACAGCTGCTACAGCTTCGATTGGCCCTGAGTGTCTGCCTCCTTCCTGTCCCCTTCCCCTCCCCTTTTACTGGGCTCAGGCTGGGGTCCCTTCTGGGCATGGAGCACATGGAAACTGTTCCCTGCCTGGCAGGTCAGCAGTATGGATAATGCTGCGTGGCCGACAGGGGCTGCGATACAATGTGCTGTGCTCCAGAAGGGAACAGAATCTGAGCATCATGTGACAGTAATGTGGGGGAGAGGTACAGCGGCAGAGATTGTGGGGACTGAGTGGGGAGGGGAGGCTGTCGGGACCTGGAGTGGAAGAAGGAAGGCTGCAGGGGGAAGAAGTCAGGAGGGCAGGAGGCTACTTGACCCCTCCACCCCCACCGTTTTCCCTGCTGTAGCAGTGGGGGTGAGAGGGTGGGAAGGGGAGGCAGGGAGAGGGACAAATTTAAGACAACCCTACAATTATTAGATTCTGTACCTGGAAAATTATGACCAATGCATACCTTCTCCATATGTAGAATGCAGTTATTGGGGGTCAACTTAGATTTGCGTAAATATTTGCCACAGTGATCTCAAAGTAGCCACAGAATTGGTCCTGTGCTTTCTCTCTGCTTTTCTTTGCCTCGCATAAACTGCAGATAACAGATATTCTTCAGAAGTCAGTTCCATGCGTCACTGTGTCCATTGGGAAGCTAGCACTAGCTTGCCAGCACTCTCCTCCTCCAAAACTGGATTTCCTCTGAAGGCAAAGCAGCTCTGGGTATATTGTCAAACTTCTAGCAGAGCTTCCTATCCCTAGCTCCTTTCCTTTGTCATGCAGAAGACTAACTACACTGGCTAGACTAATGATCTCTCTATGAGTATGCCAGGTAATGAGATAATGCCTGCTTAACTTTCCCAAGGAGCTGCAAGAGCACCAATTCCCTCTTTCCTACCAACAAATTGACTTATATCAGCAAAATGAATTTCACAAAACCTCTCTACCAGTCCTCTAATGATAACAAATAACAGGCTTTTTATGGGATGGTAGATCAGACAAAAGCATTGGGTACCTCAGAAATATGTGCATTTAATGAGGAGCACTGGGTTGAGATGACAAGAGAACCTATGCTGACCTTGACTAGCATATGCAATCACTTAGTAATTTTAAGGCTGAGTAAAGAAAATTAGGTAACACTGATACTTTCATTAAAATTTAAAAAAATCATGAAATGCAGGATTTTTTTCCTTCCTCCCTTCTCCCCCATGCAGTTCACAGATTTATCTGTTTATATACAAGAACAAGGAGCAGTGGTCTCAAGTTACATCAAGGAAAACTTAGGTTCGATATTAGAAAAATTTTCTCACAAAGAGGGTGGTGAAGCCCTGGACTGGGTTACCTAGAGAGGTGGTGGACTCTCCATCCTTGGAGGTGTTTAAGACCTGGCTCAACAAAGCCCCGGCTGGGATGATGTAGTTGGGGCTGGTCCTGCTTTGAGCAGGAGTTGGACTAGATGTGACCTCCTGAGGTCCCTTCCAACCCTCATTTTCTATGATTCTGTGATTTATTTTATTCCAGGTGATGCTTAAAATTATTTCTGCCTTTAGCTTTCAACTTTGGGAAAGCAGAGTGCATTTTTCTTTGATATCATTACTGGCAGATTTTTTCAGTAGAACTGCCAGGGCAACTCTAGATGCTGAATTATTTTTCCTTACTGAAAGTCTAAGTACTTTTGCAAAATACTGGATACCTGCAACATATGTTAAGGAGGTTTAGCGCTTCCCAGAAACAGGTCATAGTTACTCCAGAACAGTTTGGATCAGAAAAAGTGTACTAGGAATTTTGAGATGCTCGTAGTATTTTTTTGAAGGAACAGGAACATCCTGAAGTAAATTATTCATAAGCTGATAATATCATTAATTTACCTACTTTAGGTCAGTAGCTGTGCATCTTATCATGATATCTGAACACACGTTGAAAATTTTTTTTCAAGAATAGGACTTGCATACTTGATGTTGTTGGAGCCCGACTTGATTAGTATCTGATTAACGTGGATCAGTCAACGGCTGACCTAACAGCCTGGTCTAATGGGGGTAATTTTTGGCCCCTCCCACGTTTGGCGAACTAGCTAGATATATCTATCACTGCCTTACTAGCCCAGTGACTTGGCCTGTGCTTTGGCTTATTAATGAAACTTACAAACAAGGGAAAATGAACTGAAACGAATAAAAGGTTTATTAAAACGCCGGTAAGTTTCAGCAGCAAGGACAGGGGAGAAGAAAGGTAACACAAGCAAACAGATCTTAACCTACTGAATCCAGCAGCCTGATGTGCTTCCTAACAACAGAAAATTCCTAATAACAATCTTAACAATCCTAGTGAATACACGAATGTATGCGTGGAAGGAGTGACCTAGTTGAATTTCACCTGGCACTAAAGGAACCAGGTTCCCTATCTCTTCATGTCCTAAGGAGACGGGTAATACTTGCACAGGAGTGGCGTGAGCCACTACTTCTGTGCAAGGCACACCCAGGGAGAGAAGTCTGGGGAGCCGACTCAAACAACCCTCAGCTGCAGATCACCAGAGGTGAGGATGGAGTTATACTGGAGTTAAATACTGGTGTGGACCTCCACTAGATTGTCCATTTCAACAGCTTCGGCTCAGCTTCCTCTCTATGGCTGGTCGGGTCCCGCAGGACACAATGTAGGCCAAGCAACAGCACCAGACGATCACAAGGCGTACCACCGCACCAGTCGTCCACACAACCACTTCCACCACCTCCTTGCACAAACTCCACAGTTTTTCCTTCTCTTCTACCCTCAAGCAGCTACTATTCCCCTCTCTCCTACATGCTCCTAACACATCACTACTGCACGCGCTCACATTACCACACACACTCACCCACTCACTCACCAACATGTGTCCATCAGCAAAAATCTTTATAAGGGTGTCCACACGGCCCTGAGGTTTGCACTGGGTACCGTTTTTCAGTGACTTGCAGATACTACTGCACGTGCTCTTAGTCTAGAGGTCAGGGAAGATTTATCTTCTGACCTACTTAAGACACACATGCATATGAGGCCATATAGAGGCTAGGTGATGACACCATGGACTCAGAACCATTTTGGCTCCTATGAGATGAACACCTTGCTGGGGTTGTTTGACCCCAGCACTCTTTCCTGCCACGGCAGGGGGTCGGATTAGATGATCTGCTCAGGTCCCTTCCGACCCTAGAAACTATGAAACTATGAGATAAGCCTTAGTGGGTCTGTGAGGGAGAGAGGAAGATTTTATTGTTTCTCTCTAATTCCCCCTATGAACAGACAAATCAATTGATAAAGAAGTTGCAAGTCTCCTGATCATAGTCAGCTTTTTACAAAATCTATTTTAAATGGTGGGCTTGGTGTCACCAATAGAAAAGTAATTTAAAAATTGTTTTCCATGAGCCTGGCCCTAATCTAACTTTTCTGAGGCATTCTATCTTGTTTAATAGATTGCTTCTTGGAAAACTGTATTTATCATCCACCAGATTGATTCTAAGTTGATTGCATACACACCCAGGGGAAAAAAAGACATGAAAATACTTTATAATTTTGGTGCAGGTATATTTCAAGTTTGGTTGTTAAATTAAAGGGAGCTAGTGGCTTCTTATTTCTGGTAATCCTTACTGATCTACCTGTTCCACATTTGAACCCTGAAGATGCACATACTTTTTCAAGCATATGTTGCCTGCTCAAACCAAACAAAATTGGTGCTCTATTTATAACACATCATTTGGCAGTGGGTTTTAATTAGCAGAATATTTTGGATGAATGCATTTACTTGCAGCTTCCAAGCTGAGGCTAGAGTATAGTTGCTCCTTGGTTTCTCTGAGAATCCCTCAAATATGTAGAATATAGCAAAAAAATGCAATGACTATTTATAAAACACCTTTCAAAGCCAGACTTTTTTCATCCAACCTCCATTAGGGAGCTTCAGTAGTTGTTTAAGTAAATTGTATTTGTCAGAGGTTGACTGGGAGGCACTAGGGCTTAAATGAATGCCACTTTATTTTAGAAATAGTAGATCCAGGAATTGCTCACTTTCTTCAAATGAAGAACCAGAAGGTGAAAGACCCAGGAAAGACTATGAAATGCAATTTGTGGCATAAAACACCATATTTTCTCACAAGTTACCATATTCCCTTGCTTATAATGAGCACTCCAATTCCCAGCCGGTGATTTGTGGGGGAAAGGTTATTGTATGCAAGGAAATACGGTACCACAGTACACCAATTAAAGTCATTAGAAATGGCTGTAGTAAACACTACAGCTGTTCTAAGCAGTGATAGACTAATTATCTTGCAGTTGGCTTGTCAATAATACTGCATTAAGAAAATGATTTGAACTCTGGAATGTAGAAATTGAGCAGAATGACTTTGCACACACTTCAGTAATGTCTGGAAAATGAGTGAGTATATTCAGACTCTGATCAGTTCTAGGATGAACTAGGTGACTGCTATTCTGTCCACATCAGAATCCTAAAAATAATGGATATTGGATAGTTTGCCATGTTTTATGACAACTTCAATATTCATTATACCTGTGTCATCACAAACATCTCTGTGGATGAATCTGGAGTAATCTGAATGTAATGTATTTGGGCTTTGACCCAAATTATGGACATCACTGAAAAATCCCATTGATTTTGTTTTCAGTAGGCTTTGACTCAGAATCAGAGGGGTAGCTGCATAAAGAAACTCCCAGAGGA